GAAGGGGGGTTTGCTCTGGGTTGTGAAGACTTGGTGGTTGTAATCTGCGACCACTGCTTTTTGTGACAAGCTAGGCAAAGACACTCAACTTAATTCTTAATACTTGCCATTGCCCCGCGTCATTGCGGGGGATATTTGGTTGTTTTCTTCTCTTTGAAAACATAATTCATGAGTTTACCGAGCTCTGATCTATTGCTAAGACTTTTAAAAGTTAAGCAATTAAGTGCTGAAAAGCAGATTGAATATTGGGATACTGATATTAGACGGGTTAAAGTCTTAGGTAATAAGTTGGTTGACAAAAGAAAACTAGCGGAAGTGCTTAACCGCACAAGAGTAGGGATAGTGAGTATTCTCATCGGAAGAGACGCGTTGACAAAGCCAAACCCAGCAAATTTATTCAATTTTGGTTGATTGAGGCAAAGTTGGCGAAATTGTTATTTATTAACTTTTTCACTTTGGTGCCTAGCGGGGTAAGACCCAAAAAAAGGGTGGAGTAATTATGCTTTTAAGAAATTAGCCAACATACTTTCCCTTAGAAGGTTTTTTAAGAATAAAAGAAAACCCCCTCATAGTTCCCCCATTTTGAAGGTTGGTAAATTCAGGGATTGGTTTTCAAGAGCCAATTTTTTACCCCATGAAATTACATTCAGAACAAATTATAAAAGCCTTCTTCTCTTGTCGACCAAGATTAGAAAAGTTAATAAGGGAGAAAAGGTTTTATATTTTTGAGGATAATGAGGGCCTAGGTTTTTATCTGCCTTGTCCGGGTTGCCAAAGAAAACAAACTCTTTATTACGCTTATCGGTTAGGGAAATTTGTTTGTGAAAATAAGGGTTCTTGTAATCTTTCTATTCTCTACTCTGTCAAAGGTTTAGCCAGATTAGAAACAAAATATAAAACCTTATTTGCCAAACAAAATAAAGAAACCTTAACCAAGATTAACCGCCAAATAGTTATTGTTTCCCAACTTAAACGAAACTTAGAAAAAGCCAAAGCAAACCCCCCTTCT